TAACCCTAAATCCTAATCTAACCATGAAAAAAAAAGCTAAAAAAATGCACACCAAAAAATTTTGAAAATTTCATAATAAAATATTTAAAATTTCCAGCTTCAGCCATTTCCAGCTTCAGTCGCAACAATTATTATTATTTTTACATTTCTTTTTTTTTTTTTTTACTCTACGTAAATTAGGTTAAAAAAATTTTGCGGCTCGCTGACGAAGTGGGCGGAAATATCGCCAAAGTTAAGTGTATCAGAAAACGATGGTATAATGACCAGAGATGGGTTGATAAGTCTACACCACCAGACGATGCCCCCGCCTGGACCATCTCTTCTTCTTATCATCCCGAAAGTGAAGAAGATGAAGATGAAGAGGAAGATGAAGACGACGATAATGAACATAATGAACTAGAAGACGAAGGAAATGCTCTGAGAATAGTAGTGAAAAGAAATAAAAAAAGATCCGATATTACCGATAGAGAAAACCAAAGTGAATTAAGAATTACTCAGACAAATTAATAATGATATATTTGTTTTTTGTATGTATTATCGCTTTTTTTTTACCTTTTGTCTATCGCTTTTATTTTACTTTGTACTATTGCTTTGTCTATCGCTTTTTTTTAAAATTGTAATATTGCTATTGAAATGATACAAATAAAATGTTTAATAAAGTATATTTAGTTCTATTGCTTTAATTAAAAATGTTTCAGTAATGTCTAATACAGTATAAGCAATCATTGGCATATATAAAAAATCCTATCAACTAAAGTGATATGCATATCGGTATATCTATATGCTTTTGAAAGATATATCATATTACCGATATTTCTTTAAATAATAATGATATTACAACAAATGGTATACTATAAGGCTCTGATATTTCGATAAGTAATTAATATCGGCGAATTAATATCAATATCGGCATTGCCGATATTGCCAGAAATTCCTTCGATAGAAATTCGAAAGGTATCCGATTCCTGCCAAACTCCAGGTTAATATCGGATACCTTCCAGTTAAAAATTGGCAATTAATATCAGTACATCTTCGACTTACATTAGTACTCATATTAGTGCATATTGGCATCCCGATATTTCTCCGGTATAGCTTCTTTCGACCTGTGATACACCGACCAGTAGAAAACATTCTAATGTGGATACGTTATCACAAATGTATCTACTAAAAAAATAGATCAAAAAATAAGAAAATTTTTATAAAAAAAAAAATTTTTTTTTAGTTAAAAGCTTTGAACAAAATTAATACTGTTATATAAGAATTAGGAGGTGCTCTGTCTGTAAGTCACATATTTATTGTGTGAAAATAGAAGGTGCTCTGCCTGTAAGATGCTTAATAAGCCTAGTACTGGCTGGGTTCGCTACCAAAATAAGTACTGCACCAAAATTAGGAGGTTTGTCCAGCCTATAAGTCGCTTAATAAGCCTAGTACTGGCTGGGTTCACTACTGAAATAAGTACTGTGTGAAAATTTGGACCTAATTAAGTGTAATTAAAAAAAAATAAGCCAAAGTTTTAACTTAGCAAATCACAAAAAAAAAAATAATAATAATAATAATTTAAATATATTTAATAAAGGATACTGAAAGAAAACTAAATCTTTCATATTTGACGTAAAGATTAATCTGGTTCAGGTAGTTGGTGTCCTAGCAAACCAAAGATGAATCCAATTAGATATTAATTGCTAAAAACCTACATTACTGAGCATATCTTATCCTGGATATTGACTTCGCAAGAATGACGAAGCATACAAGCCCAAAGCCAATTCTTTGTAGTAAAGAATGACTTAATCTACAAGAAAGACAAACATAAGATCAACCATTTGTTAAGAGTGATTCAAAATTATGAAGTTGAACCAATCTTATTTTTGATTCATACTCACCCGTTGGAAGGATACTTCGAGATCGATATAATGTTTAACAAAGTTCAGGAGAAATATTATCAGCCACAAATGTATGCCGACATTCGAAGGTTCGTTTGTATTTGTGACGCCTGTTAAAAAAGAGACAAAAATTTAGCAAGGCTTCCATTGTATTCAATACTCATTGAAGCCCTATTCTATAAAATCAGTATAAATATCATTAGGCCATTATCTGTAACCTCAAAAGGAAATAAGTATATTGTAGTTGCTACAGACTATATGATGAAGTGGCCTAAGGCTAGAGCAATCAAAAACGCCAATGCTCAAGAAGTGGCAGACTTCATGTATAAAAATATTGTATATTGCCACGGCTGTCCACAATATTTACTTTCGGATAGAGAGACACATTTTCGTAATAACTTAATGGATAAATTTCTAAAGAAATTCACTATTAATCGATGCCCTATTATGCGAATGATTAGGTAGAATGAAAATTCCATAGATATAGAGAAAAGATCAATTGAAATTGAAGCTGAAGAAAATGAAGAAAACAATAGTAATTTTAAATACTTAAACGAAATTGCATATAGAGAATGGGAACAAGAACAAGATATAGATTCTAATAGTATGGAGGATATAGAAGATGAAATCCAAATAAATGTTGAAGAAGTAGAAGGAAGTAGTAAATCTAAAATTCCTTGGCTCGAAAGAGAAGAGAATGATTATTGTCAAATAGAGGCAGAAGCTCATTATGAAGCTCTGATGAAATTATTAGACAAAGAAGATTTCTTTTAGTTTTATTGTATATATATATAGCAGATC